CACCACATCTTTTGGAAAAATGTTTCCAGTGAAAATGTACACCTTAGTTGCTGTCTGAATCAAATCACCCTTTAACCTTTTCTTTGTTAAGCTAAATAGGTTGAACTCTTTGTAGCTATCACTAAAAGAAATGTGTTTTAATCTTTTAATCATTCTTGTGGCTCTTCATCGAACCCTCTGCAACAACCTTTTTGAACAATGGGCCCCACAAATGGACACAATATTCTAGCAGCAGTCACATCAGTGCCAAAAATTGAGGTAATTAACCTCGCAATTGCTACTAGAGAGGTAAACTGCTTTAGCACTACTTGAGGTGATGCATCCCAGTACTGTAGTCATTCTACATATATTACTGATTGAGACACTATTTGCACATAATAAATGTGATCAAGTCATAATCGTGTACTTCAGCTACTGTTAATTTTTAGTTCTGTGATTTTAACTATAAGTTTCTAACATGGTTTGCCAAAAAAAAGCGTGAAAATGTGAACCCTAAATGGTCAAAGGCAGAAAGCAAATGAAGACAAAACAACATATATAATATGTTAAAAACTGAATAATTTTAAGCCAATCTCACATTTTTTGAGGAAAAGTGGAAGCTCTACTTAGGAGCCTAAGATCCACATATGATTCCCAGAACTTAATGTAAATAAATAAATTGAAACACTGTACAACGAGAAATTATGAACTTTAATTTGAGGATGCATTTGCCTGCACATGAAGGGTATGTCTAGACTGGCAAGATTTTAGGCAAAAGTGGCTGCTTTTGCGCAAAATCTTGCCGCCTGTCTACACTGGCCACGAGTATTTGCGCAAGAACACTGACTTTGTACTAAACAAAATCAGTGGATCTTGCGCAAATACTCCGACGCTCCCACCAGGGATAAGCCCTCTTGCGCAAGCAAGAGGGCCAGTGTAGACAGCCAAGTTAATTTCTTGCGCAAGAAAGTCCGATGGCTAAAATGGCCATCGGAGCCTTCTTGTGCAAGAGAGTGTCTACACTGGAACTGATGCTTTTGCGCAAAGGCACATGCCAGCATACACGCTCTCTTTTCCGTTAAAAGTATTTGCACAAAATCATGCCAGTCTAGACGCAGCCGAAAAGTAGAAACCTTCACGCTGTAGAAGGTTATATTTTACTCAGGGATATTTTACTTCAAACTTAAAGAACTTGAACACTCACAAAAGAAAAAAAATCTGTTTCCAACCATCATCTTTGTATATTCCCTTTATAAACATACTCATTATGACAGAGTGATATAGAATTTGGTTTTCATATGGAGCTTTTCATATTCAAAGTACCCCAAAGACTGCTCTATGCAAGCTGAGGATTGATAATAATTCAGATTACTTTTAGCAAGTGATTTCTTCAGGGATAGTTTGAAACTTCTCATACTTTCCTTCTGCAGATTGGGCTATTTACCCTTGTGATCTCATTCCCAGGTGCAGCAGTGATTTTAAGTGAAACATGAATTGAGAGTTGTAACGTATGTGTAGGCCCTGAGAAAACTATGCAGAAAGTCATCTAAATTAGAAAAGATTGACGTGAAAAAAATGCAGGATGGCACACTGTAAAGCAGACACATAGGTAACAATTGTACAAACAGGGTCACACAGACAGACCTTGAGAGCTACATGTAAATCAAGTTGTAGTACTGGGGCTTTGGTCTAAAATTGTTTATATAAACCCTAACTGAATATGATTAAAAGTGTGTGTGTGTGTGTGTGTGAGAGAGAGAGAGAGAGAGAGAATGTGAATGTGTGTGTGTGTGTGTGTGTGTATAACTTCCAAATTAGAAACCCTATGAAATATAGTTTTTTTTTTAATAAATCCACTTGATCACTTAGAAAAGTTTGAGAGGATTGTGAAAATTGTTGCATATACTTGGATACATGGGGCGAGATCCTCACTTTGTATGAGTCTTTATAGCTCAGTAGAAGAAAATGGAACTAGGACATTCAACACCAGCTTCTTTTTTTAATCTAATAATTCTGTCATTATCACTAACCCCAAGGAAACAAAGCCTTACAATTTCCAGTATCCATGGTACACCCTAAAAAGTTTTCTGGATTTTCCTATTAATCTATTTCTGATATATTTACATGGAGATCTTTTTAGCACACTGTAGTTTTCCAATTTTGTAATATTCCAGCCTTATGCCTTGTTTAGTAAGTCACTGAACTTTATAGTAGTTTAGCCTTATCAACCATACTCATTTTAATTATAAACTAGGTATAAACTGCAGCCTCGTCAGAGTGATTTTATTGCCCCATTTGCATCAATTTTGGTCCTTCATTAGATTTCTCATTATTTAGGGCATCAGGAATTTAACAACTGACAACAAGCAGAAGACAGCTGCTTTCTGCTTTCAGACGTCTCTGAGTATATTTAGAAACTTAGCCTTCAAAGTGAGCTGTTTTGCTTGCTCTATTGTACGATGTATCATTTCTCAGTAGGACCCACATGTTTGCTTTAATCTGATAGGGTTTTTCTTGTTGTTTTTAACCTACTTCCTCTTAAGAGAGGTAAGAGAGCTGAAGCAGCAGCCGTCAGCAGCAAATGAAGTGGGAGGAAGCAAAGAAAAAAATAGTCTGGGATTTATAAAAAGAATGTAAAAATCTGTGATTATATAATGATGTACAGTAGGTGCCAGTAAACAGAACAAGCTATGGCATAACAGCTAGTTTAGCACACTCAATACTTTGCACTTTCCTGATTTGAAGGCAGTTTTGAAGCAGTTGATGCATAATCATGTTACTACAGGTTGCATAAAAGCCCCCAGATATCCAGAGCCAAAGTTGGGGAGAAAAAGTGAGGGTGTGGTGGGAATGATACTTGATACAATAACTGCCAGCATTGCATTGATTTTTGTTTAACTACTGTGAAGTTCAAATTCTGAATCTGAAGAGTGTGTAAAAATAGCCCTGGCAAATGCACTGGAATATTTTAAGGGAGGAAAAAAAAAGACCAATGAAAATGAGTTTAACCAAAGTCAATTAATGATGAATTAAGGTCAAACAGTGGCAGAGTTCAGAAACCAGGTATCTCTACTGGAAAGCCTAATAGCTCTTAGTAGAATGAATTATGTCTTTTAAAATAGGTATATATTTTTATCAGGTATAGATCAAAAGATTCATGAAGGAGATCTAT